GGACTTCTTCCAGAACTTCATTAACTCTGATGTGGGGCACAACCAGCTGAGAAATTGTTGATCTACCATCAGCTGATTCCCAAACTCGCTTCAATAATCCATTCTCCACAACTAGTGAGTCCCATTGTGCCCACATCGCCTTGAAAGCAGGCCCTCTATCCGAGATATCCTTCCATGTCGGTCTTTCTGTTCCTCTTTCTTTCCAACGTAGAAAATCGGCGATATTCGGATCGTTCTCCTGATCTCGTCTCATGTGTGCTGCTGTCCACTTATCATCGGTCACAAGTCTGGTTTTTCTAACATCAGCGGTTCCTTCTCGATGTTCAATGCGCAGACAATGCTTACAGGTTTCCGAACAAGGTCTTCTGGACATGGCATCTGCATTCTGGTGTAGTTTTCCTGGACGATGCTTAATCTTGAAGTGATACTGGTTCAGCTTTTCCAGCCATCTTGCTATTTGACCTTCAGGATTCTTCATCTCCATCAGCCACCTCAAAGCTGCATGATCCGTCCTAATGAGAAATTCTCTCCCGTATAAGTATTTGTGAAAATGGTCAACAGCCTTAACAATTGCCAGCAGTTCTTTCCTGGTGACACAATAATTCCTTTCTGGTTTGGCCATCACTTTGCTGTAGTATTCTATAACTTTTTCTTGACCATCCTGTACTTGTGATAGCACGGCTCCAATTCCGATGTTACTCGCGTCTGTGTCCAAAATAAACAAGCCTCTCTCTTGTGGGAACCCCAAAATAGGACTCGAACAGAGGCCAGCCTTCAATTTCTTGAAGGATTTCTCACATTCTACAGACCAGTTGAAGTTGACTCGATCTTCTGTCAATCTATGGAGTGGTGCCGCAATATCAGCAAATCCTTCCACAAAACGACGGTAGTAAGTGCACAATCCCAAGAAACTTCTAACTTCATGTTTGTCCTTCGGTCTTGGCCAGTCTCGAATGGCTTGAATCTTTGTCTCGTCAGTTTGTATTCCTTCTGACGTTACCGTGTGGCCCAAGAAATCTACTCGTTTCTGGAATAGTGAACATTTCTTCAGGTTCAGTTTGAGGTTGGCATTCCTGAATCGCTGGAACACTTCCCGTAAGTTCTTCAGGTGTTCCTCGAAATTCTTTCCCATGACCAAAACATCGTCCAGATATACCAGGCAAGTTTTCCAAGTGAGCCCACGCAGTACCAATTCCATCAGCCTTTCGAAGGTTGCTGGGGCATTACATAGTCCAAAAGGCATCACAGTAAACTGGTACAGTCCATTACCAGTCGTAAAAGCAGTCTTCTCCTTATCTTCTTCGTGAATGCCCACTTGCCAGTATCCGCTCTTCAAGTCCAGTGTCGAAAACCATCGGGAGCCAGCCAATGTAGTCAAAGTGTCATCAATCCTTGGTAACGGGTAGCTATCCTTCTTGGTGACGTCATTGAGCTTCCTATAATCCACACAGAATCTTGTGGATCCATCCTTCTTGGACACTAATACAACCGGTGCAGACCAAGGGCTGGATGATTCTTCAATTACCCCATCCTTCATCATTTTGTCAACCAGCTGTTCCACCTCCTGTTGCTTAGCAAATGGCATTCTTCTTGGTGGTTGCCGAATTGGGTGAGCTTTACCAGTATCTATTCTGTGCTTGACCAAGTTCGTCCGCCCTGTTGATGTTGATTCAAAGATATCACTTTCGTCTGCTATGAATTTCTTGGCAGCTTTATATTCTGTTGGTGATAAGTGGTCCAAGGAGGTTTCCAGAACTTTCAATGCACTGTCATCTCGTTCCCTCCATCTCTGCTCGTTAGTCTTATCACATTTTGCTACCCAACTGACTGGTTCACAAGCTCCGATAATATCTCCTTCCCTTACTGTTATGGTGGTAGGTAAAACATTTGCTACCCTCACAGGAATGTCTCGTTCGGTGGTCACTAAAGCTCGGGCAAGTAACAGCTTGCTGGGGGATTCCTCACATGACTGTACTAATCCAACGCAGCACCCAGGGTCCTCTTCTAATCGCGCATGGATGATCTTCTCAGTGAATCCAGGAATTCTCACAGTCTTCGCTAGTCGTAGCCTTACAGACGTCTCCCTCTCGGCTGGTGTCGTTAGTACAAACTCTTCTCCAAATTTCATGATCTTCTGATCACTGTCGAATGAAAACCCGTAGTCACTTATCAGATCCATGCCGAGGATAAACTCATCTTCGATATCTGCGACGTATACCATGTTCATTATATGGAGTCTTCCAAGCGTCAACTCAATATCAGCCATCCCTCGTATTGGTGCATTTTCTCCAGTGACCGTACGAAGAACAAAGTTGGAAGTGGTTGGTTTTATACTTCCAGGCCGAAGAATGTTACTGCGTACCAGAGAAACTGATGCACCGGTATCTATGGTGCAGGTTACATCCATTTGGTTGATTTTTCCTTTGATGGTGAGGCTATCAGTTGTTCTTCTTATCCTTTTGATGTTAATGACCCTGGGGGCTTCGTTATTACTAGCCAGCATGCGCCCCGATACGCTGGCTAGTTCTAGTTTTCCTGGTATCTATCTGAGGACTCACTAGATGACCTAGTCCTCGCAGGTGAGTACGACCGTGATGGCGTCCTTGCAGGTGAAGAAGATCGTGGTGGTACTCTCACCTTACAGTCCCTTATCAGGTGTCCAGTTCTGCCACAGCGATAGCAGGATCTATTTCGCTGGTTACTAGACCCACTCTTAATTTCTTTGAGTTCCTCAAGCACTTTTCTCAACATTTTCGCCACTGGGTCCACGTCTTCGGAAGGCTCCTCGATGGACACAGCTCTCACTTTTGGCCTAGAGGTGTTGAAGGCCGCTTCTACCTCCAGAGATCTTACTAGGGCTTCACCACTCCTCTTAAAGTGTGTAAGCCTCAGAGTCTTCTGTATTTCTGAGTCTCTCAGCCCGTCGATGAATACCTGCACCGCCAGTTGTTCTTTGAAGTCCTCTGGTGCCTCTGGGTAGGCTAATTGAGTCAGTCTTCTCACATCTGCTTCGAACTCCTGTAGGCTCTCTCCAGACTTCTGCACACGATTTTTCATCTGAGCCCGGTAAAGCTGTTCTCGATGTTGGTCACCATACCTGAGTTCTAGCGCAGCCACTAAATCTCCGAAGTGGTTTTGTTGTTCCACTGGGATCGACTGTAACATCCCCAAAGCTGGTCCTCTCAGAGCTACAATGAGTGCAGTAGCTTTTTCCTCGTCACTCCACCCATTTGCACTTGCTGCAGCCTCAAATTGTCGGCGATACATAGACCAAGGCGACTGTCCATCAAAAGTTGGTGGTTTTACGGAAGAACCCGATGTGGCAACCCTGTCACGACGATCTTGACTTCGTAGCGAGGCGATCTGATTCGCTACATCTCTTTTGATTGTATCGAACATGGAATCTATTCTTGAAACCTCCTGGTTAAGCTTGTCGTCAATTTTGGTGAAATCTGTCTTCAACTCATCTATTTGCACATCAGTTTTATGCAGAATTTGTTCGAAGAAGATTTTCTGATGTTCTCGTTCTTTTTCTTGATGCTCTAGAATTTTCTGTAACTCTTCTTGACGACGTTGCTCTTCTTCTAATTTTTCTTCATGACGACGTTTCTCTTCTTCTAATTTTTCTTCATGACGACGTTTCTCTTCTTCTAATTTTTCTTCATGACGACGTTTCTCCTCCTCCTGTTTTTCTTTCTGTCGTCGTTCCTCTTGTTCCGCGAACTGATTTTGCATAAATTTCAAAATGTCTTCCATCGCGTCGTATGACGTACTCCTTGTATTCACCATACGTCTTCAAATGTCCTCGAAAAATCCACACTTCTGACACCACTGTTACGATTTTACTCTGGGTCCGTAATAACTTAACACTCGGTATAACACTTAAAACGATTTATTCTGAACACTACTATACAATAATTACAATACTCGTACTAAACACTTCCGATTCACAACACTTCTTCGATCGTTATTATAACGCTTCCAAATAAAGACTTTTCTTCCTGTCCCTAACAACAACTATTTATACTACCTAATAAAACGTCTAGATTCCACTCGAAATATCGTGAACAGGTCGATAATCTTCTCGAGTCATCTCAATAGCCGTCGAATCACCTAATTACTATTCCAAGAAATATGGCTTGTTTACATTCCCGCAGGTAGCTGGGATCGATTGCCAGGGTCGTAACAATATGAAGAAGGAATAATGTTGGTGCCAGAATTGATTCTTGTGGAACGCCGGAATTGATGCCAATGGTATCAGACGATACACCGTCCAATACCACATGAAGCGATCTGCCTGAAAGAAAACTCGATAAGAGATGGCATAGCTGAGGTGGAGAATCACGTGAATTCAATTGCTAAAAGTGCATCTCAAAAACTTGGTTTTCTGTTTCGGGCTAGGAGCTAATTAACTTCCAGTCAGCTGCTTATGATCTATAAGGCACAGATCCGACCTGTCCTTTAATATTGTTTCCATATTTGGAGTGCAGCACCCAAACATATCCTGAAACTGTTGGATTCTGTTAAAAAAAGGGCAATTATTCGATTCGTGGGTGATGCCTTGCTCACAAACACACTTACTCCTCTGAAAAAGCGTATAAAAGTTAATATGGTCCGATATAGAATGAATGGTATTCGCATGTGCGTCAGTTTTCAATTTACTCTAGCTTCTCATCCCTTAGTTATACATTCATAAACCAGAACAATTGAAAACAATTATTAATTTGACCTCATTATTTTTCAATTCAACTTTGCAAAAGTTAGGACCGAGGTTATGACATTCACGACATACGTTCATGTGAAGTTGAACAGAAGGCAAAGTTGTGTGTACTTTGTTATATTCAGAATATTTACAAAAACAAGGGTTATAGTACACAGACTTTATTACGAGCAAATTCTCATATGTTTCAGCTACAAACATTATCAGGGGTAAATTTTGTCAAAAATTACACAAGAGAGTAAACAGAGAAAGAACGTTTCATGTACTCAATATTGGAAGAATGGAAAATACATTCACATTTCAGTCGGAAGAACTGAATAAGTCAGTCCTCCCTTTACTGATAAATTTTACTTTCTTCGAACTATTACAATACCCACTCATTTATCTTGCAGTGGAAACCTACAATGGCACAAATCTACAGTTCTGGAGACTAGATAGGAAACAGATGGGAGCTTATCTATGCATCGCCAGCAACGATATCCCTCCAGCAGTCAGTAAAAGGATATCCCTCAGCGTCAACTGTAAGTATCATCATCTTGAATAACTCTGAAACAAGTATTGCATCACCTGACACACCTTGTAAGAGAGCTACTCACAATTTTAAAAGCAAAATTCACAAATTGGCATTTCATGTATCATTTTTCTACATCAAAATATACAGGGTGTACCTGAGAGGTGTGTACAAAATCTTAGTACATAATCCTGAGTCGATTTGAAGCAACATACCTCAGTCTGAAATCACTCCGTTCTCGAGATACAGGGTGGTGGAGATAAAAAATAATAATCGACAACTAAACAAAAAATGTAAATTGAAGAATTCATTTTTGCACTGCTCATTTACTGACAAAATATCATCCACAAAGATACTATTAAACATTTTTCATTCAAAATAATTTAAATATTTCGATGCGGCATGGAACACTAAAAAAAACACTGAGAAAATAAATGAAAATTTGTATAACTAAATGTAATGATATCACTTATTTAAGTGATCAATACTTAGACAAACCTATTGCACACCACCTCCGAATATTAATAGTTCAAATTATTATTCACCACTTCATCAAATAACATGTTCCATATCCAGTAACTAATAAATATATCTTATGTAGTGGTATTAGGATTGTGTTGAATGTTACTCCCCTGATATTTCTATTTACCACTACGTATTAGTGCGAACGGTAATATTAAAAGGTTCACCGTACAGGTAGGGTCCCTAATAACTGGTGCTTCAGTATGTCATATTGCCTCAATCATACTATTTTGCAGTTGTTATATTTGATGAATGTAGTGACTGGCGCCTTTTTAACCACAACGCTTGGTATAGTGAACTTTAGGTATTTAGAACGGATAATTTCTCTCAGTGAACTGAAATATCTCGTACACGGCTTACTTCAGTGAATTTCCACAAGTGTACCTCATTTGCTCAAAATATCCAAAGAACTATTTTCTCAAGGAAGAAGGTGAGAAGCTACACTGAGAAAAAAGTTAGGTGCCTTCTAAGCTATAAGAAGTCCATTGGTAAGAGCCCTCTGATTGCCACAGTGAGAAGAGTTCCGTATTCGTATTTCGCACCCTTTTAAACTCTCGGATATGAATTTTTGAAGTAATACCTCGTAAATTGTTCATAAATTCTGAGAAATTCGATTATTATTCCTTTACTTTACCACCCGCATCTCGGAAAAGAATATCTATTCCATAAACTCTGACACCCTTCAGAAGGAATACTAGGTGAAATCACGTTCAAAAATCTGTCTCTACTCTTTGTCGAGCTATTCAAAATAACCGACAGCCTGCTACCGGTATGAGCGAAAGTCCTAGTACCTATATAGAGTTCTCAACACACTAAATGGACCACTCATAATTTGACTCTATTTCGAAGACCTGTATTTTTTGAAAAAATTGACCGATCTTCATGCGGTTTTCGATATCAGATGTGATGTTACATCGGCTTCAAAAAGAGCTAGAACACTCTGAAAAAGTCCGTGGAACAAAACTTACACAGGGTGTAAAGTGGAACCATTACACTATGGTCTACATTTCCAATGCTGCCAGGACTCGAGAAAATTTTTTCTGATCAAAAGTCAGTCATATTATGATACTCTGGGACCCCATCTCGGAAAGTTTTCGTGATTTCTCCTGAATTGGCCATTGGAACAATATACGAAATTTCTTGAACTTTTTCTCTAGAACTCCACTTGAGCTGACTATTGGGGAGAACTTCTCTCATGTTTTGCGGAGGACAATGAAAGACGAAAGAAGCACTTTTTTGGAATATACAGGATGATAAGAGAATAGGACTCATTTCAGTAAAAAAAACATCGAAAATGGTGACTAGAACTATGGCCCATTCGATTCAGTATAGTCAGAAACGGCCTTCTTGATATCCATTATTTATATTAGACTAATAACTCGAGATATTTTCAAAAATTTGCCTCTAATTGATAGTCAGCTCAAGTGGAGTTCTAGAGAAAAAATTCACGAAATGCAAGACTTTCGAAAAAAAAACACGAAAACGTTCCGAGATGAAGTCCCAGTGTATTATAATATAAGTGATTTTTGATCAGAAAAAAAATTGTCGAGTTCTGGCAGCATTGGAAATGTAGACCATAGTGTAATGGTTCCACTTTACACCCTGTGTAAGTTTTATTCTGCGGACTTTTTCAGATGTTCTAGCTCTCTTTGGGGCCGATAAAACATCACATCTGATATCGAAAACCGCAAGTAGATCGGTCAATTTTTTCAAAAAATACAGGTCCTCGAAATAGAGTCAAATTATGAGTGGTCCATTTAGTGTGTTGAGAACTGTAGTTCGTAAATATTGTCGAATTCCATTGGCTAGAACTGGAGGAGTGTTTCACTACTATGAGTGTTTATTTACCTACTATTTACCTAACTCTGTTCAACACATGCGAGTGAGAAGCAAACATATACATATATACATTGAGTTCTGAAACACTCCATCGGTTCCTGCCAATGGAATGGCTATTAGATGAGGAGCTTTTAATACCCATTCGAAGATATCCCCAACTTCAAGAAGAGCTTACTGATTCAAGATTCAAGAATACAATTTTGCTGATCAACATAAAATTCATCCCATAGACAGAGATGGATACAACAGATGTGGAAACAATTTTATTGATGGAGTCTTTCGTTTCGCTGCGTTGATGGGGTATCATCGATCGTTCAGTATTATAAATGATGAGAATTAGAGCAATGAATCAGACATTTATTTTCGATCGACTGATTCGGATATTTCCGAGGATATCCCCATGTACAAGGTTTATCACGTAACTTTGTTTTTGTTTGTTTTGTTGCGTCAACAGCAACATGAAGTTTTCCATCAATTGACGGCCGAGTTAATACTTGTGATACATTAAATATACATTATCTTCTATATAAGGACCTTTCAGTTTTTTATAGATAGATTCTTCCACGGGCAATGTTTTTCAGAAATCTCTGCTATCATTTCATCACTAGCAATAGACCACCTGTAAACTGGTTCAATGATGAATTGGTAAACAAGTGAAAATAATTTGCTGTAACTGGAGTAAGTTGATTGTGTTTTATTCAACATACAATAACATAATAGTGTTATGGATGTAAATTTCAATAATTCTGCAAACTGCTTCGAGTTTCTTGTACAAACTATGTTTTCACCAACTTTAGTGGAATAAAGTTAGTCAAGAATAATGCTATGAACTACCACCAGCTGCCTTATCAATATTTCGCCGAACTAAAGTCGGTATTTCGTATTTTATTCAGCGTCCTCATAATAATCGGAGCTTTAGGAGTTTCAAAAGTGGAAATTTGATTTTTTGAGGTATTTTCAATCTCTTTTTCAAAATTGCTCCTCTCACAAGGTATGTAGGTCGATGTGTATATACAGCCATTCTTGTTTTCTCATTTCAATCTATTTTTATAGAAAAATCGAGGTGAAAATTTGATTTGTCGAGGTAATTTCAATCGATTTTTCCAAATTGCTCTCCTCCCAATGTTGTTACTCTACCGCAGAGAAATGAGTTCATACAAGAATGATGATTAATTAGTTCCTCTTCGGTCCTCTGTCAATAACCTAAATGGGTAAATAATGAACCAATAAAAGTTGGCAAAAACTGAATCAATTTCCAAGTGATATCTGCCGTTTTATTTTCAAATCTACCGCTTTATTATGTCCACCGCTTATTTCAGTCTTGACCTGGCAACTCTGACGAAGACGTACTGTAGCTAGGTTGCCATTCAGATTTAGTTTTGACATGTTATTTAACACTTTTCCAGAACTGACGAAAGTTCTGAAACGTCTTACTTTACGTAACCAGTTGCGTGAAGTAAAATATATTTCAAGACTGGTGATGAAATTTCCATTTCAACACAAGTTACGAAATGAAAATATGGATGGACAAAGAGAACGGTGCATTTTTTATGCTGCTTTCTGATATGAGAATATCAAACCAGTTTATTTTGTGCAGTTCGTCGCTGATTTGTGACCATATTATTGTTTGACGGATACTTCAAAGTGACCGTCGAAGTCAACTTGCCAACAAAATTTTATACATACATAATTGGTAGAACTCATGTAAAACTGTTAATTATTCTTGTTCGTGCAAAGTTTTCCATCAAAATTTAAAAAAAAAATGGAACGTAACATCCCAGCAAACACGACATAGCTGGCGATTCAATGGCCCATTGATTTGATTGATGACATACTGCGGGCACTATTTTTCGGTACTGAAAAAGTATATGCTCATTGCCGTTTCAATCACATAATATGTTGTTGTTGTTGTTATTGCAATCGCATTGTGATGGTACAACAGTGTATTTTCTATGGATCAGGATTACACTATTTTTACGACATATGGGAATCAATGGGTATAATCCAATTTACAAAGATCACTGGAACACTACTGCTCATTAATGAAATGACAATGCATTTTGGCGACAATCGACAATTGATGTGTTTTCACTATAGGTCTTTATTCATTCTGTTTTTTTTTTGTACTTTTGCGCATGAGATGTCATTTGTTATTTGGAAATGTGAAGTGAACAAGTGAATAAATAAAATGTTGTATGTTTGCATTATTATTCAATCTCATCAAATCGAAGAATCAAATTTAGTTGTATATAAACTGATATTCTTCTTCGAGAACATCCATCATGATATGATGATACCATGAAGTTTCAGTCCTAAAAGGAATCTACCTCTGCCTCAGACTTGAGTCTTTGTTTCCACCTGACTATTTTGGCAGCAGGCTATATAGCTTACTTGAAATTCACTGATAGTTTATTTCAGATACCAAAGAAGAGAACTTCCCAAGTTCTGTCAATGTACACCCAATTTCGAAATCAAATATTATAAAATATACTAGTCCGATTCTAAAAATTGTTCTAAAATTGTTTTATCCGTCATTCGGTTGCCCCCTTACGAGCAACCCTCAGAAGTCTTCGAGAGTCTTGTGCGAGCAAGGAATGACGGTGGCCTTACCTTTCAACGTGTGATCTCAAATACTTTCTTGGGCCATCA